GTAAGGCTTAGATTTGAGTCCTCGAACTGATTTCGTGGCTCGCCGTTGGATACGCTCCAGAGTGACCTTGTCCTTTTGGAGTGAGGGGGGAGTACTATGTTTCCGTACTCTAAATGGGGACCGATGAAACTATTGAAGATTGTATGGAAAGTTCGTCCGTCAAACTGTCCAAAAATGCGCTTCAACGTTACCAGTGCAAGGTTTGCTCGGAAGGCATTTTTGTCACAGTTAGCGTAAGACTTCAAGTCATGGGGCACCAGGACTCCTAAATCTTTTTCGACTTGGGATACTACTAGAGAGGAGTTTCCTAAGTTGTAACTGTAGTTTGCGACATGTCGCAGATGGACTACTTTACACTTAGAAGTGTTAAAGGTAAGTCCGTTATCGTCTGCCCAACTTTGAAGTCGAGTCAGATCCTCTTGAAGTGCCTGTATATCGTCTTGGTTGCGTATCTCTCTCCAAAGTTTCACGTCGTCGGCAAAAAGTAATAAGTCTGACGTTACCTGTTGAGGAAGATCATTTATGTAGATCAAGAAGAGAAGAGGCCCTAGTACTGAGGCCTGGAGGACCCCACTAGGACATTCCATAGCCTGAGATAAGGTGAAATTAACCCTAACCTCAAAGTGTCGATTTTTTAGGTATGAAGTAAGCCAGTCGATTAGGGGTGGTTTGATACCTAGTCGTTTGAGCTTGTTGATAAGACACAAGTGGTTAACCTTATCAAAAGCCTTTGAGAAATCAAGGTAAATGATATCAACCTTTCCCTTGCAATCGAGGATGCTTGTCCATCTGTCCCCCGCAGTCAGCAGGTTGGTTATACAAGAGTAACCCTTCCTGAAACCATGCTGTTGGAGTGAGAAGAAATTTAAGGACAGTAGATAGTCGTTTAAACCGTCTCATATCAGGGACTCCATGAGTTTTGTAGGTAATGACAGAAGAGCCGCCTGCCGATAACTTGAAGGTTCATTGCGTCGACCACCTTTGAAAATTGGTGTGATGTGAGCCAACTTCCAGTTTTCCGGTAATTTGCCTCGGCTAAGCGAGTGTGAAAACATCACGCTAAGCGGCGTTGCCAGGATTGAGGCTGCTTCCCTCAGTATGGCAGGATGAACCATATCTGGGCCAGGAGAAGTATCTAGTCTTAAGTGCTGCAATTTCCGGAACATCAAGTCACCGCTTAGGTCCACTTCGGAAAGTCCTGTGGAATTGCAGATGAAACTGTCGTCAGTAAAGTTGATGTCAGCCGGTTGAAATGTTTGAGAGTAATGTGCCGCCAGAAGGTTAGCGGCGTCGCCATCGTTGTTGGTCGGGCCGTTAAGACCTAGCAGTTGCGAAACTCCTGTTTTGGCTTGTCGAAGAGAGGCTGCATAACGGAATAGGCTTCTAGGGTTAGAGGCAAATTTGTCCATAAGCTTTGTCTGGTACTGAAGCCTGTCTTCTCTTATAGCCTTCGTGCATATGTTCCTTATATGTTTGTATTGCCTATACGCTCCATCGTTATTAGTTCGTTTGAATTCCGCCCAACAGTGTCTTTTGCGGTTTAGCAGGCGAAATGTACGGTTCTTGATTACTGTAGGTGGCTTGCTGCTTTTGGGAACCGTTTGAGGAACTGAATGGTTTGTAGCACATAAGAGCGTGTGCAGTAAGAAGTCCCAATGACCGTCCTCATGGAGTTGAGGGTGAACATCCCAAACCACCTGTTGTAGATAGTCATGTAGAGCTGGCACATTCATCCGTTTAAAATTCCAACGCAAATTATTGTTGGGATACCTTAGCATAGTTTTGATGACAAAACTGAAGGCTATGACGGCATGATCGCTCTTTCCCAGAGGAGCCAGGATTGAGAGGTTGTCGACTAGGAATTCTTCGTTTGTGAATACACAGTCTAAGCGCGATGGTGTCTAACTGTTTCTCCAACGAGTTGCCGACCTCACATTTTCATATAAGCCCAAGTCATCGATGAGGTTGAAGAACCGAGCTTCAATTGAGTTGTCGCCTCCAGTGTACGTGTATTCCGCGAAGTTGACTCTAGAGAGATTAAAGTCCCCTAGAATCATGATGTGTGTGAAACCGAGACGAGTAGAGCGGGATAGTCCTTCCAGCATACGACTATCGTACTCCATGTCGGCAGTTGGTTTCCTGTAAATGACTCCGACTAGACACCTCGAAGTACTAGACAATCTTACAGAGCACCATATGGATTCCTCAAGATTGTTAAACTCGAGGTTGTGAACTTGGTGCACCTCCAAGCAAGAGCTTATGTATATGGCTACTCTGCCCCCAATTCCTGTTTTTCTGTCGTTGCGGAACAAAGTCTCAAGGACTGTTTGATGAATTTCCATTCCCTGATGTCAGAATTTGATTGAGTAGGGTCTGCATTTTCCGGTATACCTTGGACAAATATGTTTCTTCCGCGGAAAAACTTCTCGCGAGATTCTTTAGGGATGTTCCGTATGATATTGCGCTCAGAGTACGGTATGTCGGGCAATATTCTTACGTTACCATCGGATTCCAGCAAGTGACTTGCTAGTAAGACGTCCTCTACGTCGGTAGCATTCTTAAGTGTTACTCGGAGAAGCCTCGGGTGATTTAGATGCTTAGAATCCTTTCCTCGAGTGAGCCGGGTGACCGTCAAAGGCTCTATTCTGGGAAGTTCGAGCTTCTTGTTCAATTCACCCCAGGGCATCCTGTCGTTTTTGTCCTGCAGACTGAGAGGAAGATCAGGATTGTCAACGAGGTTCATAATAATGAGAGAATCGTCACGAACTGTTGTCAATTTACCAGATTTCACGATGGGTTCAGGTTTAATAACTTGTTGTTTAAAGGTCAGTGAGCGTTTTTGAGTCTTGGGCTCTTTATTGACCGGACGAACAGTCTTGGGGGTAGACTGTGCGACTAAATCACCAGTTATTTTCCGTGCAGCAACACTTGGGTTGCTCGGCTTAGGCGGTGATGCCTGGTTCTTTTGGGCTCTCTTAACGTGGGTCGAATCACCTACAGGGTTTTTGGGAACCACTGTTGTGTTCAGGGACTCTGAGCTGGGAGGCCCGAGTTTGCTTAGGGAGTCTAATACCGTTGACGTAATGATGATGCTGAGCCTCGACACGTCATCATTAGTGTTGATGGATGCTCCATCGATGGTATACCTGTCGACATCCCTATTTTTGTATCCGTCACACGCTTTTGTTTGTCTACCGGTTTTTTTACTATCGTTATCCAAGTTAACTGACAACTTGTTCCGAAGACCTGTCAGTAGGACAATGATGTTACTCAGCAAGACTACAGCGTCCGTGCTGCACGTGACACATACACACTTTTGGTCTGACTTGCTGAGTCTGTTGTAAGCAGCTGCTGTCAAATTTGTGCATGCTTCGTGGAACCAACCTTTGCAGTTGTCGCACTGCATGCCAGTTGTAACAGCAAAACGGCTTCCCGGACGTTTGCATGAGTTTTTCATGACTATGTTGAAGCAAACTATGTTATAGATGCTTGCAAAAGCCTAAGACCTTTAAAAAACACTAAAAAGCACACTGAAAACGGACAAAAATGGATAAAACGAGTGATATAAACTGGAACTAGTCTATACGTGAAAAACAAAAAAATCCGAATAGTAATCTGAGGCAAAACCACAGTTAACTATTAAATATGGTGAAACTCAAAAAAAAGTAATCTACCGAACGTATAGCTCAGGATAGATTCTTTAGGACTGAAATGGTACTTTTGTTGCGTAAGAACACAGCTAAAGTTTGATAAATACAAATCACGTTAGGACTAAACTTCCCGTTCGAAAAGCGCGCGCGGTAGTGGTTCCTAGATCTATCATATGAATAAGTCCGTTTTTAGCCAACCTCAGCTTTTGGGGAGCCAGTCGGCGCGCTTTCAAGAATACAGGAGGTCCTGTAGTCGTGATGTAATCTGTAACATTTCTGGTTACACATGACGATTTCGGTTGCGTTTGGTATATACCAGAATAGTTATCGAGTAATGGTTGATAGAATAGGTCTATCGTCTGCATAAGTGTGACAGGAGATAATCTGCAACCGGAAAAAGTTACGCACACAGATAAGTTGGTTTTTCTATCTATTAGCCTGCGTTTGCGTGTATCGATGAGTAGATTGTTGTGTTGTAGCAGGTCTTTATTAATGATTGACATAGAAGCATCTGCAATAACAAAAATTCAGTGGATGGATTTGAGTAAACTCACATTAAAGTAGACTCATCGCTTACCATATGTGGCGATCGGTTCGAAAGAGATTCGTGAAACCGGCCGTTAGAATCTGCCGGAAAAACACCAACTTCTGCGAACCTTTGTAATCACATCAGTGACGTATAACAGATAGATATAATCGCCGGTTAAGGTTGCCGATAACGCGTGCTGGCTGGGAAGATTCCCGAAACATTTTTCATGTCAGTAGGTTTGGAGTTCTGAAGACTTCAGGATTTTCTTCAATTTCGGTATTTTCCGTACTGATTATGATACCAGCAGCAGTCAGAGTTATCTGTCTCTCGTGGTCTAGAGACACCGTTTATGTGAAGGACTCATTCGAGGGATTTGTGATTGTTTACGAATACGAACGTAACCTGTGAGAGTGACAGTGTTCCGTAACGTCGTTTTATGTCGCTTGAGGTTTTTCTTTTTCACATCGAGCTCACCAGTGAAGATGCCGCAAGTATTCGGAGTTCAATAACATTTTAACCAGTAACATCTGTAATTGAATGGTGCCCACTCACTGAAATCAAATGTCAGAAGAGGTGCGAAGATATATTTGATAGAATATCATTATATCGAGAAGTGACTAATCTAAGCTGACTAGTGGTTGGAGGAGATGTGAAGCGCAGAGTACCCACTTGCGTGACTGAGAGCCTTTAGTTAGGTGAGTGGAAGACTTACAGAGTTATTTATTTTGGGAATTTATTTACTACTACATGAACACCCCGAGTAATAAATATCCGGTCAATGTTTATTCATCATTTCACACCGATTATGAATTTAAAGAAGCGATTGTTCTTCACATTTTTTATTTTTCAAACGTGAATAAAGACCATTTTGCCATCTTTGTCTACTACCAAATGTCAGTGATCATTGAACGACGGTTTTATTTCAAGATATCTAAGAAAGAAATCACTAGAAAATAACCCATTTTATTGATACCATAGCTTTGAAACTTAAAGCGAAAAGTCGGTTAAGTGATTAGTTTTACTTTGCAATTCATCCTTACATGCCATTGTTTAAAATCATACATGTGAATTTAGTCGCGTAATCTTAACACTAATCGGCCACATGGGTTCTTTCGATGCTTATGGTCCGAATTCACAAGCCTTAACGTTCTTCGACCCTGAAGAGAATGATTTAATTGGAGGAGATACACAGGGACCTGATTATGACTGTTCTGATTTCACTCTGCCTTCACAGTCTCAAACACAGGCATCTCAACTAGACCCTGATAAAAATTGCTTCTCTCAGCAGGTAAGTTGGTACTCTACTTAGTCTTATATGTTATCAGCATGATGGGTCCAATACCATTGACGTGCTGTCCCAACGTGTTGCTGACTTGGACTTCAAAGATGAGGACATAGATGACTCTAGTGTCGACTTGCCAGAGCACGCATGTGCTTACTGCGGTATTCATGACCCTGCTTGTGTAGTATTTTGTAACACCACGAAGAAGTGGTTTTGCAATGGTCGAGGCAACACTTCAGGGAGGTTAGTCAATTACGTATATTATTCTGTTCAGTCATATCATCAATCATCTTGTTAGAGCTCGTGCGAAAGAAGTTACTTTGCACAAAGACGGACCTTTAAAAGATACTCTCTTGGAATGCTATGTATGTGGGTCAAAAAATGTTTTTCTGCTTGGTTTTGTGCCGGCGAAGTCAGAGTCTGTCGTCGTGCTTCTGTGCCGTAACATCTGTGCTAATGCCAACAAAGACATGTACTGGGATCCTGCTCAGTGGCAACCGATAATTCAAGGACGTCAGTTTCTTGCTTGGCTTGTGAAAGTTCCAAGTGATGAACAGCAAGCAAAAGCTCGTCAGATATCGGCCCAACAAATAAACCGACTGGAAGAAATATGGAAAGAAAATCCTCAGGCGGCAGTCGAGGATCTAGAAAAACCCGGTGCAGATAACGAAGTCAACCCAGTGTTGTTAAGGTAAGCTTTACCCCCGAGCTCCTCATCTCTTAAAGATATGAAAATTCACAGCAATATCGAGATGTATTCATACCTTTAGTGGAATTAGAGGCTGACTACGACAAAAAGATCAAAGAATCGCTGAAGTTGGAGAATGTTTCCGTTCGTTGGGAGACTGCCCTTAACAAACGCCGAGTGGCTTACTTCCGGATTCCCGGTGCTAACGAAGGTACATAAATTATTAGTATTTCAAGTTTTCTCATACATTACACCTGGATTTTTAAGTCCTCAGTCATGTATATAATTGTTTTTAAAATAGCTTACAAATAAAACTACAGGTTTTTCAGTATCATACTGAAAATACATGGCAACAAAGTCTTCGGGTCCGTACAGTGAATCGCTCTTATGTTATAACGTTATCCTTATGATGTCAGAGCATTTCGTGAAGCTAGTTTTATAGAATAAAGTGAATGCTTACTATAATCTGTAAATCTTCCACACTAACTTTTGCCGATAGAGATTATCCGATTAATTCGTGTATGCATTCCTTGAACGTATTTACTTTATGTGCTGAGTGATATTTGCATATGATTTCGATATATCTTCACTAATACATCGTATTACTTTCTAGGCCCAGAACTACGTATTATGCATGGGGATGAGTTGATCATTCGTCAATTTAACAGTCCGAACGATTATTTGGTTGGTGACGGTCATGTTATCAAAGTGCCTGACAGTAAGTTTGTGCATCATATGACATATATATATACGAACTTTATACAGGTGTATATTACTATTTGCATAGTCATTTTATGCGCCTAACCGTACTTCAGATTTTATTCGTATTTCCCCTAAAGATATGCTTCAAGTAACAAGTTAGTGAGGATGGCAATAATTTATGTTGTGTGTAAATGAACTAGTCATCAGGTGTTTTAATCATTCGATGACAGTGAAATTGGAATATTACAGAGAAAGCTAGTATGGCTTTTGCGCAAGGATGACACGGGGGAACCTGAACTTCCTCCTGTATAGTTCTCAGTAGCGCAAATGCATTCACTGTTTTTCCTTAGATCCTACGTTTCTAAATACCTTCCAAATTTTCTTGTTTTACTAATCCATATTTTATCGAATTGTATCTTCGATGGCCATTTCTGTTCCCACTAATACTGTTACAGCCTCTACCGAATTTACCCTAACAATTTCATCTCTGTGCTAATGGGGTATAACGACTTACACTGTTGTACGCATTTACCAAGTTCTATGTTACTTATAAATAGCTAACTAAATTCTATCATTTTGTTGGTATCTGCGTGAATTTAGATGATAGTGGCTTGAATAGATTTAAATATCTTCTGAAAATGTCTCACTTGTTCTGAGCTAATGCAATTAGTTTTTATTTAAAATACCGTCAAAAAATCATACTACCAAACATCAAATTTAAGTTCACTCGCCCACGTTTGGCACTAATTGCCATCTCCAAAATAATGTTGAGGTATCCATTTCATATCATCACTACGTTCTGCTGTTATCAAAAGAAAATCCTTGTGTCAATTAAATATTGGGCTGGTCAAATTATGGATGAGCATCTCTTCCTTTTGTAAGACTGTACACTTCCCATGGCAGATCGAAAACGATAATTGTCTGTAAGCTTTTTCGTAGGTTGTTACTATCTTAGTACCTATTAATAACTTGTGGGAGATAGTGGTCACAATAACTCACAAAGTTGCCTGACGATTCTCGTGGGGTTTACCAAAATATACTTAGAAGTAAAGATTCATTTTTATTTGACTAGTTTCAGTACCGTTTATTTGTAGATGTAGGTGAGGTACGGCTACATAAACCGATTCTACTTTATGGCTGCAAAACATTACTTTTTAGGGTAGGTACTTGTGATCGATTAGTATTTGATGACATATTGCTCGCATCTGCTGGAATAACCGGGTAAGTAATAGTGAGGATAGACGCAGGGTATTACGGAATGATGGTGAATCAGTCTATGAAGTTGTGAATCTTCATCAACTGAGATGGTTAGGCCATGTGTCGCGTATGCCTGAACACCGTTTACCACGGCGCAAAAAGCTGATTAGTGTTGGAGACGGTTGAAAGAAAGTTATGGTTGACTAAATCAAAATGCGGTATCAGCGCTTGAAGTCACTAACTTCTGGTCTAAACCATGTTGGTAGATGCAAACTACTTGGTTGGAGACTGATATGGCTCAGAATCGATCACAATGGCGTAGGTGTATACACCTTGTCTAGCCTTAGACCGTAAAATTAGAATTACGAACTAATTCTCCTTATATGCAATCTTTCTTTTATATATTACTATCATTAAAGTAACTATGAATTTGTTCATCTTGTGCTAATGAGGTTTGGCAACTTGGACCGATGCACATATGTGCCTGGTCCTACGTTGTAGCTGACTGACTTAAACCGATGTACATACGTACCAGATTCTACCTTATGACTGGCTGTGATGTGGATGCCAGTATATTACGGCATTGCAATTTTTTATCCAGTGATTAAAAACTGGGTCTAGATCGCAGACCCTAATAGTCTCATCTTGATTTTGATCGGTTTCAGACGTGGTCGTTTTTCACCGTTCCTAATATGAGGTTTTTGATGTGACTAAATTATGTTTCATTTTATTGTGCTATTCTAATAAGGCAAAAGTATGAAGTGGATTTCGCTTATGTACTTTTCATCTCCAATAAATTTTACTAGACAGTATAGATCTAGACATTTATTCAAGTGTATTTATGATTTTACTACAAGGTGATGCTTCATATTTTCTCCTTAGATTTCAGTGATGAAGTCGGTTTGGAAATGAAGCAAGTCATTGATACACCTCTAGAACCTGTGACGTACAAAATCGAATTTAAATGGAAGTCAACTCCATTCGATAGAATGAGACGAGCGATTTCTGTCGTTACCGACGAACAACACGGTTTATTACCACCATATATATTCTACCGATTGCTTGGCCAAGAATTAGATGATATGGTGTTAAAGTGCAACTTACCTAAACGCTATTCTGCACCAGACTTACCGGAGCTAAATCACAGCCAAGTGTTTGCCGTCAAAACAGTTCTCCAACGTCCACTTAGTCTAATACAGGGTCCACCCGGAACGGGTAAAACTGTGACGTCTGCATCAATAGTTTATCACTTGAACCAAATACATCAAAAAAAGGTATTGGTTGTAGCTCCTAGCAACACTGCAGTCGACCAGTTGTGCGAAAAGATTGACCGTACCGGATTAAAAGTTGTGCGCCTATGTGCAAGATCTAGAGAAGCTCTAGCATCTCCTGTCAGCCGTCTTATGCTACACATACAGGCCCAAAATGTGAAAGGTCATACTGAACTCCGAAAGTTACAGCAATTGAAAGATGAGACTGGTGAACTGAGTCAGGATGATGATAAACGTTATCGAGTTCTAAAACGGGAACTTGAACGTAAGTTACGAGTTTTAACATAACTTTTATACTGTGTGTGAACTGTAGGAGCTAAGAAATACTGATTATCACAATTAGTTCCTTTTGTAAAAGCGCTAATAAAATTAAAAAATATTTGGTCACATTAAAGACCTATATATATATATATATATATATATATATATATATATCGTCAGAAAGATTTTGTGGAAATTGTAGCAATTTAATAGCTCAATTTACTAGTCGATTAAAGCTAGAACACCATGGAAAACCTGGAAGCACTAAAAGTCGTCACGTCCTAGTGTGGGACTCCTTGACAGTGTGCATCCACGATCCGTCCTCCAGCGCTCCCAGGTTTTCCATGGTGCTCTAGCTTTAATCGACTCATGAATTCAACTATTAAAATGTATGATTATTGTTTATTTGCTTTTTATTTACTTAAGCACATGAACATAGGCGCAACGAGGTACCAAACAGATATGCGCCACATAAACCATTCGATTTGTGTGAGCTGTGGTACTGCTCGGGTGCCCAGATCGAAGCAGATGGTTTTCTTAGGGGGCCCACACCTTGAGCCTTCGACTTAAAGGCCTGACCCACCAGACAATGGAGCAACTTCAAGGGATACAGTCCCATGACAACCGGTGACCACTAATAGGTTCAAACGCCATTTGTTCCCTCAGGATCCTGGAGTTCATGTGCACCATTGGTTTGGAATCAGGGTTTTCCAACTTCCCTAGGCGGACCTTCCATATCCACCAACCTGGTTAGAGCGCCGAACATTGGCTTTTCGTCCTCTCAATTTCGTAAACAATAGTAAGGCCGCGTGAGGGCAGCGAATGGGACTTTCCTGACAGTGGTTGTATGCACGTGGCCATGTAAGAGCGTTTCGAGAGGAAGAGCTGACTCTCCCCACTGTCGTCCGTACCAGGGCATTTGGGGGTTATAGTTATTGTTATTATTATTAACTGGTTATTTTCTATCAGAAAACGCATTGGTATTGTCTGTGGCATTATGTAACCAAGCGTCACTTTCTGTATTTAGTTGTCTAATAAGTGTTCTGTTTTTCTCATCAGGGGAACTCCTTATGGCAGCTGATGTGGTTTGCTGTACATGTGTAACTGCTGGTGATGCACGTCTGGAGCGCTTAAGTTTTCATTCCGTTTTAATTGATGAGTCTACCCAGGCTACTGAACCAGAGTGTCTAATACCATTAATGGTAGGCTGTCGCCAGGTTGTTCTAGTTGGTGATCATTGTCAATTGGGACCTGTAATTACGTGTAAAAAAGCTGCTAGCGCCGGATTAACTCAGAGTTTGTTTGAGCGATTTGTTCTGCTGGGTATTCGACCTATACGTCTACAGGTACGTCAAATATTTTGAATCATGCATCTTCGTTGAAACAAACGCTTGTCTTTGCACGTTTTAATTTCCGAATGTAGCAAAGTGGTCTTGCCAAATGAAATAACCGTTTTTTCCACGCAGTAGTCGTTTGCATTTTAAGTCAGTCAGCTACAACGTAGGACCAGGCACATATATGCATCGGTCCAGGTTGCCATACCGAATTAGCACAGCAAGGTGAACACCGGATTCATAGCAGTTGTCATTGGTGGTAATATATAAAAGAAAGATTGCATATAGTACAGGAAGAAAGAATTACTTCGTAGAAAGAAAGAAATGAAGCGATTTTAATCTCTTAGTTTAAGGGAAGATAGAGAGTGTATACACCTACGCCATTGTGATCGATTCTAAACCATGTCACACATAGTCTACAATCATTGGTTTCGATGGTCACGCGGACCCCAACCAAGTAGTCTGCATCTACCAACATGACTCAAACTAGAAGTAAGTGACTTCAAGCACTGATGCCACGATTTGGTTTGGCCGCTCCTTACTTTCTTCCAACCATCTCCAACACCAGTTAGCATTGTATGTCGTGGTAATCGGTGTTCAGGCATACGTAACACGTGGCTCAACCATCTCAGTCGATGAAGATTCACAACCTCATCAGCTGATTTTCCATCATTCCCCTATACCCTGTGTCTAACCTCACTATTACTTTTAAGGTGGTCACCTGTGTCGATTCTGTATTGTATTTGAGTTTCTTTAGCTGCCGATATCTAATTGTATTACAGGCGCTTCATAAATAAAATAGTTGGACGATTTAAAACACCTGTAATGTTACAGTAATCATCCGAAGTCCTCGCTCGTTTCGAAAGGCAGTGTGTTTAATGTTGTCGCTGGAACTGAGATTGATGAGCTTAGGGATTCCGTAGGTTTACTGTCCTGTTTTGGTTATCACGATTTTAATTCAACTAACCCAGACAATGTGAATGGAACATTGAAGTAGGTCCCCCCCAACTCTAGCAGAAGTTCAGTCGGCTATAGCTAATCTGAAACGAGGAAGGGCAGCTGGTCCAGATGGATTGGCTCCAGCGGTCTTTAAGGATGGTGGTCCAATTTTAGCGATTAGGTTGACTAATATTTTAGCTAAGATCTGGGAGTTAGACGTTATCCCATCTGACTGGTCACAATCACTTATCGTCCCAATATATAAGAAAGGGTCAAAATCATCCTGTGACAACCACAGAGGGATTAGTTTAACAAATATAGTATCTAAAATACTAGCCTCGATAATTATCAGACGCCTAAGACTCGTGAACTGCAAACACGAGAGAACCAAGCTGGCTTCAGACCTGGTCGTGGCTGCATCGACCACATATTCACCATTCGTCAGGTTCTAGAACACAGGCATACTTATCGGCGTCCGACAATGGTGGTTTTTCTTGACTTAAAAGCAGCATTTGACTCGGTAGACCGCGGGATTCTGTGGCAGCGTCTGTCATTGAAAGGCGTACCTCAGAAGTACATAAACCTTGTGAAGGCTCTTTACTCGAACACTACCAGTCGTGTCAGAGCTTATTGCGAACTGTCATCTACTTTTACAACCTCAAGTGGTGTCCGTCAAGGCTGTCCACTTTCTCCATTTTTGTTTAACTTCATCATAGACCTATTGATAGAAATAACATTCTCGTCGACGGAATTCTCGGGTATTGATTTCCTACCAGGAGGTCCACTTATCGACTTAGAATACGCAGATGACATAGTCCTGTTTGGTGAAGACGCTGACAAAATGCAGAGTCTTCTGGTAGCACTAAGCAACAATGCCAGAATGTTTGGAATGTGCTTCTTTCCCTCTAAATGCAAGTTGTTGCTTCAGGACTGGACTGCGTCAGCACCTGAACTAAGGATAGGGAGTGAAGTAGTCGAACGCGTTGACAACTTCACTTATCTTGGGAGTCTGATCAGCCCTAATGAGTTAGTGTGTGGCGAAATCTCGGCACGGATTCGAAAAGCTCGTTTGGCTTTTGCCAACTTACGTCACCTATGGCGAAGGAGAGATATCCGTCTATCAATAAAAGGAAGAGTATAATGCGCGGCAGTCCGTTCTGTCTTACTTTACGGCAGCGAAACATGGCCATTAAGAGTAGAAGGCACTCGTAAGCTACTAGTATTTGACCACAGATGCCTAAGAAATATTGCTGGCGTCTGCTGGGATCATCGGGTAAGTAGTAGTGAGGTTCGACGCAGAGTATTAGGGAATGATGGTAAATCAGTTGATGAGGTTGTGAATCTTCATCGACTGAGATGGTTGAGCCACGTGTTACGTATGCCTGAACACCGATTACCACGACATACAATGCTAACTGGTGTTGGAGATGGTTGGAAGAAAGTAAGGAGCGGCCAAACCAAATCGTGGCATCAGTGCTTGAAGTCACTCACTTCTAGTTTGAGTCATGTTGGTAGATGCAGACTACTTGGTTGGGGTCCGCGTGACTATCGTAACCAATGATTGTAGACTATGTGTGACATGGCTTAGAATCGATCACAATGGCGTAGGTGTATACACTCTCTATCTTCCCTTAAACTAAGAGGATAAAATCGCTTCATACCTTTCTTTCTACGAACCAATTCTTTCTTCTTGTACTATATCTCTATATGCAATCTTTCTCTTATATATTACCACCTTTGACCTAACCACTCCTATGAATCCGGTGTTTATCTTGCTGTGCTAATTCGGTATGGCAACCTGGACCGATGCACATATGTGCCTGTTCCTACGTTGTAGCTGACTGACTGAAGTCAATGAATATATCTAGCATTCTTTTCCATTCAGTAGATCTGGACATCCGCTAAACTTTAGCATTTAATGTACTAAAGTGTAAGCAGTTTGATCAGATACCTGGGTTTCGTCCCGTTTATTTTGTTTTAGAAAGTCAGGCATCACTAGCTCTGACGCAAAAGCTTAACTGAGAGAAAATACATTCGACTGCTAAGTTCTGTCATCATCCGTTTGCTCGTAATAATATATTATAAATTGGAATAAAGAATATAAAATACAGATCCTATAGCTCATTGTTTCAATTAATTTCTACTTGACATCCAAGTAATATCGTAATGAGCATATTCCAATCTGATTGTTTGGTACTTCTATTGTTAAGGTCCAGTATCGTATGCACCCCGCACTTTCGGCCTTCCCAAGTAATGTTTTTTATGAAGGTAGTTTGCAAAATGGAGTGACAGCAGAGGATCGTTGCAAAAAGATCGATTTTCCATGGCCAAATCCAGACAGGCCTATGTTTTTCTACTGCACATCTGGACAGGAAGAAATATCCGGTAATGGTGTATCATACCTGAATCGAACAGAGGCAGCAACAGTTGAAAAGATCGTCACAAAGTGAGTTAACTTTTGTTATTTTCTATGAGACACATAAATTGTTCCCTATAAATTTAACTTATTTTGTTGTATTAAGAACGTTTATTGTCATTTCATTTTACTTGTGTGTGGGCTGTGATACTGCACAGGGGCCACGCCCCGAGCCTTCGACCTGAAGGTCTGATTCACAAGGCAGTGGAGCATCGTAAGGAGATGTAGTTCCATGGTAGCCGGCGACCAACCATTGGTTCATACGCCATTTGTTCCTCCAGGATACTGGAGCCCATGTGCACCAATGGTTTGGAATCAGGGTTTTCCAACTCGCCTAAGTGGAGTCTCCGTGTCCACCAACCCGGTTAAAGCGCCGGAAATTCGTTTTCCGTCCCCTCAATTTCGTAAACAACATCCCCACCACGAGAAAACAGTGAGTAGAACGTTAGTAGCCACTGGTTACCGATTTAGGCCAAAGTAACCTGTTTTTCGTAGTAAACTGAACCTGTTTTTGCTGTGAACTAGTTGTGGATTTTCATGCCCGTTGAATCAGCTAATACTGTTCACTATGTATTCTAAAACGATTGATAACCCATACGACATAAGGATTCGTTCCTCAAACTACCGATCAGGAAGATCATACAAGTATCTCGCACTATTTCATACTATTCAGACGTTAAATGATATGTTTATTTACTTGAAATACAATAATAATAAAGCACGTCGTGAATATTAATATGAATAGTATGCATAAAACTAAAGTATTTGTGGCAAGCAATCGAGTAGTATGTCAGTAGCTAGATTGCTGTAACTTACGGATGGCAAATTTATTGTCATGGTTAATAATATCGAACAAAAGTTTAGATTTAGGATCATACAGAAATCAATTGTTTGATGAATGAATACATGTTACAAAGTCACTAGAAAATAGCTTCTCAGGGTCTATACTTTTAAATGTTCACCTCTTGGCACCCCATTGTAGAAAAATTAGTTGTATAACCATGCCTAAGAGTTGATCCATGATCAATCTGGTTTGCATCGAGTTTTTCGTAATTTTAGTTTAGAATTCGCCATTGTCCTTTGTATTTATAAAGCATCATTTTAAACAGTTCAGTATCACTCAATTAAAATGGCATAAAATACTGTCAAATATTTGTTTAGCTTTCATTTTACTGTTGGCACAGTTCCCATTAACTTAAGTTTGATGTCGCTTATCAGTGTTACAATCAGGTACTTAGTATATTTTGGTGTTCTTCAATTCGATTTGATCTCCACTTTAAATTAATTTAAACTTGCCAGCCACTAGCACATGTTTCAAGTATAAACTCTGCAATTTGTTTTACAGGATGCTGAAAATAGGTGTTAATCCGAATACTATCGGAGTAATCACACCTTATGAGGGACAACGTGCATACTTAGCACATTATCTTCATTATTCTGGTTCGTTAAATGCCAAATTGTACCAAGAAATCGAAATCGCTAGCGTGGATGCCTTCCAGGGGCGAGAAAAGGATTATATCATCTTGTCCTGTGTCCGAGCAAATGAAAATCAAGGTATTGGTTTTCTCAATGATCCACGCCGTTTGAATGTTGCTCTCACTCGTGCTCGTTACGGATTAATAGTAGTTGGAAATCCAAAGGCTTTGTGCAAGGTAATGCTTTTATTTTTTGCAGTGTATCATGAGTATATTGAATTTATCTTGATAATTGGTGTTTTAAACTAGACCATTCATTGTCCTAGTGGATAATATACTTTGCAGGATTTATTTTTTTAAGAAAATACACAAATCCTACAAATTTTGCACATCATTTTTAAATCATTTGTACATAAGTCTGAAATCCCGCAGGTAATTTAACGTACGAATATGTGATTCATTAAACTTTATGGTTGTAATGTTCACCGTATTGTAGAATTCATTTGCAGTGAAAGTTAACTTCGTATGAATCCTTGTTTTTCATTCTGACATGAATATTTTACTTTTCAGCAACCACTTTGGAACCAGCTGCTACACTTTTATCGTGATCAGCATTTACTCGTGGAGGGACCCTTAAACAATCTAGGTGAATACATGTTACAGTTTCCTAGACCCAAAGTTCCGTACACTTTCAAACCTGGTGGACATTATCTAGCCCAGCTATCCGCAAATCCCGCATTACTAAATAGCAGTCAGTTAAATGGGCAATTGAATACACACCCCGGAAATCAATTTAATTATCTTTCTCATGTTTCAAATCCGTCTCAACCATGTTTTGATAATCCTAATGGGCCAACAGCCTTAGTAGCAGCTATGGCGGCAGCGGCTGCTGCGGCTTACTTTGGAGGATCTGGTTCAAATACGCGCCCGAATGTCTCAACCTTAGGATTACATGGGTCGTCAGCAATCAACCAACCTGGAGCAAGCCATGCTGCAGCTTATGCTGTTGCGGCTGCTGCAGCTGCTCAACATCAATCAAGTCAACCGTATTCTAGTCAAACAAATGGTAGTTCTCATAGTATGCATCAACTATTAAACCAGTCATTATTCGACCAGGTTGGGTATATAGGACCAAATCGACAATATGCAGAAGCCAACGCTAGTTCAAGTAAGTAATTCATTGAGTAATACATATACATCACCTCAGTTTCCTGTCGATCGCAAATAGAAGTTCGAGTGAAATATTTTTCGACGATTTTACTGATATGAAGGCAACCAGTAAAGTGCAAAGTTTTCTGTGGAGTCCTCTGTATTCATAACTGTTTCATGTGATTTTCTGAAGTTTATTGTGAGGATTCTAGTGGTGGTGATGGTACTCAAGACGCATTTCAATAAGCTTGGTATGGCCATCGAGACCTGTTCTTCATATAGGTTTACACTTAACAATCTTTAGATATTAAATATATGTAGGTTGTTTTATAATTTTTACTAGTAAAACACTAATCCAATAGTCATCTGACTGTTATAATTTTTCTTTATATCCTTTGAAATTCACTTGATATTTCACATTATTTTTTGATGATTACCTAGCTTATATTTCCAGTTTTCCAAGAAATATATGCTCTCTCAACGACAGACAGCGTGATGTAAACTCGTATATACGAGGTCATGCATAATTAAGGGCATGTTTATCGTTCATATACTTGTTGAATTGTTGGCACTACACAGAAGAGGTTAAAATTTGAAAATTTTAGTTGCAAGCGTTAAAGCCAAAAAAACTCGCCCTTTGTAAGGGAGACATCAAAGTGTTCTTATAAGATAGTTCCTGACAAAGTTTGTCACTATCTCATTCTACTGTTGACTTCTTTATCACTCGTTTTATCTAGATCTTCCTATGCCACTCAGCATGTTGATGCCTGCTGGTCGAATATCGAATCCTACCAACGCAGCAAATCCGTTTGCCTCTTCTGGTCATTTTGGCAATGGAAAATATGGCACCAACCTTGGGGCAGCTGCGCCACTTGGTAGATCAATACAAGCTTTGGGTCCACTAAACGTGCATCCCAACTACTCACAACTAAATACGGGAAGTACGAGAGCACCCGGCGGTCCTCTTCCTGGAAATAACGTTGTTGGTTCCTCAGCTCCTCGGTATCTTGGAAATGCACGTCGAAATGTACAAGGTAGTTCACCAAATGCTTCGGTTGGCGCTTCAAAGTCACGTCAAATTGATGGGCCCAGTAGTCTGACCAACATTTCTGTGGAACGCGGTAATACTAATACTTCCAACTCAGGTGCTGGTCTACTTTCTCAGCCTGGTTTGTCAGAATTTTCGGGAACTCAAGGCACATCTGGTCTTAGTAACATGGGTGTATTCAGTAGTCAGTCGCGTAATTCAGGACTTTCCGGTTTATCTCAGGTAGTTTAATCTTTGATACTCACATTAGGTTTTACCGATATACATGGTTGTTAGTCTTAAGGATATTTGTTTCGTAGACCTTTGTGAATAGTTATGTATTTCTCCTAGCTTTGATTTCCTGTTCATTTAAAGGACAAGTTAGTAGGTTATTTTTGATGGGTTATTTCCTTAACCCCAATACAAACCTTCGTAATTCTTTGTTGAGAAAATATCTTAGGTATCCGGATTTGCTAACGCTTTTGCGCAGTGCATTTGCGCCTTTAATGTCTTGTATCGGTTCACTATCAATCCATGTCCGTTTCTCGGTTTCCTTAGGGGTATTCATTGTCCATATGCAGATAAAAATTTTAATATTCATTTATTGACGCTAGTTTATTACAAATTCACTTATTACACTGACTAATCACCGACAGATAAAACATAAAAGCCTTAAAACAATTATATAAGTTATTTCATTGGTGCTTTCTATTTAAAGTCGAATATCAAAACTCTAATTTATGTTTCTAGGAGAGCACTTCGTTGGACTTTCGTCTTGGTCAGGGTGCCAGTCAAATGGACAACTTGCTTCTTTCTCAAGATTCTACATTTCAAGGTGCAACTGTACCTGCGAGCAAAGTAAATTCACAAAGGGGATCAAATTTGTTCGCTACCGGAAGCGAGGATCATACCAACATAAATTTCGATTCTGGTCTGGTTAATGGGACCGATTTAGAAAATATTGGTGTCTCTCAAAACGCAGTCAGCTGTGCGAGCAGTGGTGCACCGCTCTCGCAGTTTTAGGGATCTCATCCGGCTTAACTTTGGGCCGCGTATCAATGATCATCAACGAACATATAGTTTCTCAAGGGTGTCTGTCTACAGACATCTGCAGCGACGACGGAATAAATCGATTATTCGGAGTGCATCACTTGGAAGTACAAAAAATTTAAAAACCAACATGCACTCCGAAGGTTGCACTACTTGTTTTTAACCTCCTGACTATACTAATTCGTATTAATATTTGGTTACAAGGTGTTTATTTTCGTTATAAACCCCTCAATATACAAAGCTTTTATTCTACTAATAACCTGGTTGCCTTTCAACTGCAAAAGAGAAACAATGTGATGACGTTTGTAGCTTCTATTTAAGACTAGAATGTTTGGTCGGTTCGTACAACGCGTTGTTCCAACCCCGTCCTCCTGTAGTTCGAACGCATTTTCAGATATAAATTCTTCATTTCTTCGAAAAACTGAGGGTCTTGTAGGCTGAAATCATGAATTTTTTAAAAAAAATTCTTACTATCTTTTGTTGCACTCTAAAGCCTTATGAAAGTCCGTCTTGCAAATGTACATTGCTGCCCAGTAGTATTTTTGTGTACAGTTTGACCATTCTGAAAACATGGAATGTTCAGTAGTGAATAATACTTACCGTCCCAAAGCTTCGCGCATTGTTTCGTTCTCAATCTGTCTTGCATAAGCGCCGGTATAATGCTCTCCTCTTCGACCTTCGTGATTTCTTTACTTTCAGGGTCACCTGCAGAAGGGTTGAAGTGTCAAAGTTTCAGCAACTAGCTTAACATTCGAAATTGCAACTAAAATACAGTAATATCTGATACAAATTATTAGAACAGAATTCAATTCAGCGAGACGAAATTTAAGACAGGTATACAGCGATGTGTTAACCTTTTTGCATCTACCACTGGGATCATTAGGAAAGGTCGAAAGTAAATGTGTCGGAAATACCTTATCGATGGTGTCGTTGAGTAATCGCTAATGTATAGTGTGACCGCCTGATGAACAAAGTTGGAGTTAAACTTAGACTAATAAGTAATGGTTGCAACTCAGTTGGAGGGATAATTTAATCGAGTGGATTTGTTTCGTTAGAGATGAATAAAACCAGAACAGGCGAACCTTGCATTTACCGACTGTAGATCGGAACTATGGGTGAGTGTTTCGGTAGAAGAGTGATGCGGTCGAAGATCGGTTCTTATGCTTCAATATATGTTTTTTAGGTCTTAAATATTGTGTTGCCCTGGTTGGCTTCATATTAACCATTAAGGATTTCCTCGTTTTGAATCATGCGTCTCATCTTAGTTTCAAAATCGGATATATCCACTCTTACGCACCAATGATAAATCGCACAAAAACAAAGTATGTAATCTTGTGTATGAATTTTATTTTCGACTTACCTAGACCCAATGGGCCGCTTATTTCTTCTGACGGGATCAAGGCAAATTCTACACTTTGACGTTTAGAGAAAAAGGTACCCATTTCCAGCAGTCGTCTGTTTTCCTGAAAACTGTGGGATATAAGGCAGCTATGGTTCGAAACTGCAGCACTTTGTTACCATCAAATCTATCGGAAATAGAGAAACATACTAAAAACTTCAGCAACTCTTAGGAGCTGTAGATGTTAAATGTTTTTGCATGCAAGTCTGAACCCAGAGTTAGTGCTCTTGCACAAGTCACTCAGGATTAAGGGGGGTTGCAATCTCTAACAAGATTCATCTTTTACCTGAGGTCTTCAACTTGTTCACCTGGTTTAACAATGACATGTGAAAATCAGGCGAACAAATTTTTCGTGTAAATATTAGAAACTACGAGGCTGGTGGGTGCTTTTTTCATATCAATGTGTAGCCTATAGTTTTAAGGGATGGATGGTGTGGTTTGATGATGGGGAAATCAGTGCACTACTGTGAAGCACCTGGTAAGGTGCCGCATATTAAAGGTGGAAAATCTGCAAATTGCTGGATTTCTGTATAAGCGGGACAAAAAATTTTCTGTAGTTCGCCGATAAAAGGCAAGAACAGATCCCAAGTGTTTCCCATGGAACTCAGCACTTATTGGAGTGCCGCAAGTGTCCGTTACAAGTCCTCTACTTTTTATACATTAAGACCGCAGCCCAACCCTGTGCGTTTTAAGAGGGACATCTATTAAGTTGAGTTTACCATAATGTGCACAACTCTATTACACTGAGCAGCCAACTTGACCTTTTTTCTGGGCTTAGTCCTTCATCAAGAGGAGGGTCATGAGTGAAGACCATTCTGAGGTAAGTAACCACGGCATCTGCCTAGTCTTCCTTTACACTTGAGATGCACTCCTTTTAGTTATTTAATTGGGAACCCATGGGCGTTTTCTTGTCCTTTGTATAATGTATGAGGATAATCGTCTCAACTATCTGGTCACAGGTTGTCCCAATTGGCTTTTAGATTTCCGCTGGGCTGCACGGACTGTGTTAATACACTTACCTCAGGTTCACTTGTAACGCTCCGACAATCTCGCTTTTATTTTAGTAAACGTCGAACCTGACGGTCTAACTGCGAGCGGTTGTATTTTTTGATTTTTTGGGAATGTCCAGGGTATAAACGGTTGAGTTACTCGGATGTATAACTGCCGTAGTTGCTCCATGCCTCTTCCCTTTGATGCATCCGATTCGATTTTCTCATGGTTCGAGGCCACAGAGTTCATCGTCTTTATGCTTGAAAAACCACAGCAGGAATGAACCTGACTAGGACAACCTCATGACCACTCCTTCTTATAGGTGAAAAGTACTAACATCATCATCGTGAGTCAGAAATAAATCCAGGACAGAAGAGTACTTCAGATCATATCTAGTGGGACTAAAGCTAGGGCAGTTTTTTATCAAACGATGTTCTCAATGATCTTATGCAGTGGTAGGGGGGCATTGAAGTTGCCTGCTATAAGAATTCGGCAATCGGTTTGATCAGGATGTATGTATGTACATCGGTTCAAGTTGCCACACCCGTTAGCACACTTAGATGAAATTGTCTAGCAAAGTCCCATAATAGTAGAGGTAGTAACAGAAAACACTAGCCATCGAATAAACAACTTGGAAAGAAAATATTAATCAGTGGAAAGCATTATGAGGAGTTTACAATCTCAGGATTTACGAGAAGGGAAAATATGGGTGCACCTGCCCTATTACGAACGATTTTTAGCCATGTAATTCAGACTAATCACTGGTTACAATAATAACACAGAACCCAACCAAATAGTCTATACCTAATAACATGGTCAAGTCCAACTGTCAGTGACTTCATGGACTGGTGTCACGTTTTTGTTTGGCCGCCCCAAACTTTCTTCCATACTAATCCTGCACTACGAAACATTGCCCGTCAAGGTAGATGGTGGTTGGGCATATGCAGCACATGTCCCAACCACTTCAGTTAATGGAAATTTCCTTGGCTAAAACCTTAGAATCTCGCACCATTGGTGTATGCTGTATCTCTGAAGCACGCATACAGGATCCTAGTGTGGTCATTCAATTGACATCACCTTGGCAAAATGGAGAGCCGACGAGATACACCCTATGTGTATCTGGTGACCAGTTTTCGTGGACTGGCAGGTGTAGGCATAGCACTAAGCATGAGGGCGGAACAAGCACTGTTAGAGTGGGTTCCCGTTAACAGTCGTTTATGTGCTGTTCGGCTAAAAGGCTCCGTAAGAACTCGGAAATATAGGGACACACGTTGCCTTTTTGTCGTTTCTGCCACTGACTGCAGCTCGGATGAAGTGAAAGAAGAATTTTACAGAAAGCTATCTGAACTTCTTCGGAAAGCTAAACGCTCAGACATAGTACTCGTAGCAGGTGACTTTAATGCTCAGCTAGGTAGCTTAAACCAAACAGAAAGGCATTTGGGTGGGTATTTTAGCATTCCGACACAGCGAACAGATAATGGTGATCGTCTGAAGCAACTGTGCTCAGACAATCGTTTATTTTTAGCAAACTTAAATTTTAAGCATAAGGAGATACATCGTCTAACATGGCGACCCCCTACACCAAACCAACGATGGACTCAAATAGACCATATTGCCATCAGTCATCGTTGAAGAGGGTCGGTAGAAGATTGCCGCTCATTCTGGAGTACCTGCTTGGACTCCGACCACGCCTTAATACGGGCACACATCTGCTTGCGCCTCACTGGACGCAAAAAAGCCTCAGTAAAAAGACCTATTAGGACTTAATTGAGTAACCAGAAAACCATAAGTAGGTTCCAGGAACAAATGAGGTCACAATTAGGTAGTTCTGAATACGAGGTTGACCCAGATGTTGCTTGGAAAAATATACAAGCAGCTGCGGAAACAGCAATGAGATCTATTAGTGATTTAAACCACAGGGTTACAAAAAACCAATGGATTTCTTCAAGATCTTTTGCACTGATGGGTTCTCGCAAACTCATCCCATCAGGTTCTGCACACGATGAAGGTCTGATCCACAAGGTAGTGGAGCAACATAAGGAGATGCAGTCCTATGGTAGCCGGTGACCAACCATTGGTTTATACGCCATTTGCCCCTTCAGGATCCTAGAGTTCAGGTGCACCATTGGTTTGGAATCAGGGTTTTCTAACTCCCCTAGGTGGAGTCTCCATATCCACCAACCCGGTTAAAGCGCTGGACATCGGCTTTTCGTCCTCTCAATTTCGTAAACAACACCGCCGCGAGAAGGCAGTGAGTAGGACTTCCCTGACAGAGGCTATATACGCGTGGCCATGTGAGAGCATTTCGAGAGGGAGAGCGGACTCTCCCCACTCGGTCGTACCAGGGCATTTGGGGGCCAATGAAGCCTACTGAATCCATGCTGAGATCTCGTCAGACACCGGACTGATCAGACCAACGACATCAGTGAAGTGTTCAACTACTTCACTCCCTATCACTAATTCAGGCGATGGTCTAAACCAATCCCGAAGTGATATTTTATATTTGGAGAGAGACGAACGCAATCATGCTTGGATTGTTGTTTAAGATTTGCATTTTTTCAGCGTCTTAGCAAAACAGAACTATATCATCTGCACATCCCAATTCAAAAATTAAATCTCGTGGTAGAAAATCAAGCCCTGGAAAGTCAAACAATGAAAGCGTGATCTCTGAATGCATGTCTATGACAGCGTTAAATAAAAATAAAGAGGATAACCTTGAAGTAACCAATTCCGATGACAGTTCGCCATTAAGCTCTGGCTCGACCATTAGTGTTTGAGTAGGGTGTCTGCACAAGGTTAATGTACTTCTTGGGTACACCTTCCAATACCAGACACCGCCACAGAACCTCATGATCAACAGCGTCGAACGCCACCTTTAGGTCAATGAATATAGTTTGCCATTCAAGTTGCTTGGAGATAGTGGGTAACTGTAGTATAGCTGAAACCCAGTGTTCTGCCCATCGGTTGATTGAGAGTGAAAAATGGTCCCTCCTTTTTCCGAGATAGTTTCACTAACAGCCGGATTTTTAATACCCGTTTCTTTGATAAGTCTGAACAGTTGTTTACTGTTACATACTGCTGCTGTGTTCTTCATCTCTTCTGCTTTCGCTAACCACTACTGCTCACGATCATTGCGTAGGCATTTTATCAGCTTACGTTTTAGCTGCCTTCGCTCCTGATCATGCTCAGAGCAAGACAGGATGAGTTTCCGAGCATTTAACGGTTCTGTATACGCCACTGAAATCCACTGATTTTTCCTAACCTTTGGTTTAAGTTGCTGGCAGATATCACTGCTGTTTTTATAGCCTTTTGGATATCATACGGAGCTATTTCGGAGTAAATATCATTTTTACGGTTGACGAGCTCTTTCTTTAGTTGTTCCTAAAATACATCCTTTTCCATCGTTAAGTTGAACTCTAAAAGATTTTCTATCTGTGGCTGTTTGATATCCAGTAAGACGCCGACAAACAGTACTCGAGCTAGAGCATGATCCGAGTCTGACCACGTGTTTCAGAATGAGTAACAGTCTACAATCGAGCCTCTTCAACGATGGCTAGTGAATATGTGATCAGTTTGAGTTAATCGATGGGTTGATTATGGAGATCGCCACGTCAGATGATGTTTCGCCTTATGTGTAACGTTAGTATTTGCCAGAAATATTTATTTATTTGAACACAAATACTGGTACAGTGACACCAGATACACAAGCGCCGCACAATAACAATCAGAATATGAAGAGATAGAGAATGTAAGGTGCGTATAAGAAAAAGGGAAACATTAATGAACAGAAATTAGTGTATGATAGTGAAATGATAATGGGAGAGTCAGTTCAGTCAGTAAAGTTACAAACAGAAAGAAATCTTCCAGTTAAAGAATTTACTTCCACCTTTTATGAAGTAAAATAACGTTACAGCAGGATTGCCACTGGCTTTTATTGGGCCATATCTGATAACGTCTTAAGCCATTGTATTATACTATCTCTAGGACCCCAACCAGAGAGTCGTGAAGGACCGACAGAAGCCAGTCCTGTACAACTTTCTTTCATACCACAAC